GCTGAGATACATTTGACTTGGTCTTTTAAGGCAATAATAAATTGACACTGCAAGTAATCAAAAAAAAGGTTGACAAAAATTTGAAGTACAATTTGCCAACAGGGTTCCTTGTGTTCTAATTTAAAAAAAGGAAAAAAAATCACAACCATAATATCAAGTAAAAAAAAAACCACAGTACTTTCCACTAGTGCAACTTTGTTCCAATTTAAGAAGCATATTTACTTGCAAATTAAATTAACAGACCCACAGGTCCTATTCATTTCCTTAAAGATGTGGCTAATCAAGGTTGATAATTTTTTCCTCACTCAAAAAAAAAAAAAAAAAAAAAAAAAAATTACAAAAAGGTCTGTTTGAACAGTGATGTAAAAATTACATAACAGTAACTACAACATGTATACAATCTTTCTGTTAAACAAAAACAAGTCCGTTTTCTTGATGCCATTAAAAATGACCTTTATTTTCATAGATCCCCCCCCCAACTTTTAATTTAACAAGAAAAAATAAACTAATTGATTTCATTACAAGATTTTTCTGGTAAAAGTGCTTAAGGGGTAAAATAAAGACTTGACATGTCATCTTGGAGAGAAAAAAATAATAATAGTTGGCATTGGCAACATTTAACACAAAACTGTTTAGTCAGTAAGTTGAAAATGTGATGTTTTTATCCAAATATATAAATCCAGAAATATTGCAAGCTGAATTCTAAATCAGACTGATTTAATCTTCCACAAAATGTTGAAGACTAGAGCACTTTTACTTTGTGGCCACCATTCTTTCATCTTCTCTGAAAGACTGGAGGAACTTCTTTGACTTGTCCAATACATGATCATTTTCTGTCAAGTACATGTACATGTAATCAGCTTCTGTCCTGTAAAAGATTTATATATTTGGGACAGATTATGTGAATTTACATATATAAAATTTAGAATGCTAAAATTAATACACTGAAATAATTTTCCTTTTAAAATTAAAAGTATATTTATTATGTAATTCATATATTTAAATGATTTGGTTTAGTCAGTGTATCAGGACTGAAAAATCATCAACCTAGTAGTAAGGCCTAAATAAATAAATTGTGTATTCCAGTTCCCCGACCGACCCTAAAATATAATATATGAGCCGATTCTAAAAAGTTTATCAGCAGATAAATTTCCAGGAGTAAACTATTCCAGTTTCAGTATTAGAAATCCTTATCTCGTTCACTTCTGTGTTTCATAAAATAAAATAAAATGTTTTCCCTACCTACCTACCCTATTTTTTCTAAGGCTGAAATAGGAAACACACAATTTATTTATCTTGGCCTAAACCATCATGGTTGAAATATTGAATTAAAAGAAATAGCATACCTGGCTGTCCGGGTTGTGTAGAAAAAGGACACAATGTACTGAAAACTGTTACTTCAGGGCAAAATTCCTGGGGCAAGGCTGTTCGTGTACATGGGAGTGTTGATAAATAGCCATCCAGTGAATATAGTTTGACCACCCATGTATACACGTACATGATAATTCGAAAGTGACTGAAAAATTGAGAAAGTGGAAATTGTAAACAAATACTGCACGAGATTGAAAATACCACAGCCAGTCTATAAAAGACAGCTTGTTCCCTTTCTGAGCATAAATTCGATTAAATATTGTGTGTTTAAATAGTGTGTTTATATGTATAATTATGAATCATAAATATCATGTGTACCAAACACTTTTTCAAAATATAAATCAAATTCTTATAAACTTGTGTGAATGCAATATCAAGAGAATGCAATTAAAATTTCACTTTATTTAGAATTTTTAGAGATACAGAAATTTTCACTATCAAAACAAAAATTTACCTGTTTATTGGTCATAATAAACACCCGTGTCCCCACATAATGGTCTTTCCAGTGCGTGGTGGGGTTAGCAAGTGGGTCTTCACTGATGAAAGTACTGAAGCATATGGTGCCAGCACCCTAAAAATTCAATGTGATAGTGTTACATGTACACACATACTGACAACAACTCTCCATTATTATGCCAACTTGATTTTACTTTGAAGGGTACTTAAGGGTGGTCGTCAAAAGCATACACTTCAAAAGCAACACAAAATTGGCTGAACTAGTTTCAATCTAAAATACGAGATACAAACACTGAAACAGGGTAGCGCCTATACCTGTATACAGGAAGATTTCGTGCATGTGTACATTTTGTTTTCCTTTGGAGGTGAATTAATGCATTTTAAAGACAATGTAGTGGACATGTAGGTACCGGGCACGAATTGCCCTGCTGCCTCTTGTCACGTGGTGCACTGCACACATTGTGTGACGTGTACCCGCATTCCTCTCTCTCTTCTACTTTGGCTGTTGTCCAGACCAGACACGCTGTAACCTCTGAGACTGTTAAATATATATACATAGGCGATGGTAAGCTAAATGAAAGTGCGGAATTTATAATAGTGTTTCTCTGACCGCCATCACAGCTACACTATGTAATTTTATAGGAGAACACTATATTGACGCTGCGATCCAGGGTTTTTTGTCTGGGCAGCGGGGTGCCGGCCTAGCACGTGTTGGCTAGTGCCGTCGCCATCTTGAATTTTTTGCACTTTTATTATGTAAAGTTGTTTTATCAAATAAAGTTTATTTGTATTTATTTGTATTGTGCCTATATATATAGCGGACTAGCCGCTATATAATTACATGTAGTTTTATTGTGTGTATATTTGTGTAAGGCGGGTTTCTGTCATGGACCGCGAGTTTAGTTCCTTCGGTCTGGGCAGGGGGACCTGGAGACCCGAGGGGGGCTGGTACGCTCGGGTGGGGGGAATAGACCGCATGGGTCTGGAGAGTACCCCGTTAGAGTGCAGCCCAGGGAAAGTCCAGCCTGTCAGGAGTGTGAGGTTCGTCCCTGGTGTAGTTAGTACACCAATGCCCCGGGGGGAGAGTGCCCCAGATAATGTCACTCAGTATGGGGAGGGGGACATGTCACTCACCCAGGGAACTATATCCGAGGGTCCAGGGGACACACCCGGTTTTCAGGAGTTTTATGCGCTCCTCCAGGAGAGGCAGACAATATTGGAGGGGGGCGTAGATAAGTTACAGGGGGAGATAGGCCATGTTAACCGCAGGGTGGACACGTTTGGTCAGGATGTGGGAGCCCTGCGGGGGGATATAAATATCCTTGAGACAAGTGTGACCTCTCAGGTGGGTTCAATGGAGAAAAATATGGAGGCCCAGATAGGTAATATTACCCAGATGCTGGCGCGAATGATGAAGGCAAGTCCGCCACAGTCTCTCCCACCCATGCAGGAAGTCAAGATCAGTCAACCCATAGTGACTAGCAGCCAGGGGAGTCCTTGGGTCTCTAGTTCACTATCCGGACATGATATGCCTGTAGTGACGCCAGTAGTGACCGCACCTAGCGGGAGGTCTACACCTGTGTCTATGGGGGAACAGAGTGTTAGTGTGTCTCAAGGTCATTCCCTATCGACAATTGGCTGTGAAAGTTTAGGCTCCGGACTCCCGAGTACTATTACGTTGGGTTCATTCGCGTCAGGGGGGACTGCCGATTACCCAGTGCTTCCCAGCACGGGCCCACCGGTCCCGGGTCATGTTGCATGGTGCACCCGAGAGGGTATTTCCGCGACCTTGCCCTTAGCGTCCGCGCATCCTAGTGTGGCTAATTCGAGTGCTCGGGGCTCTGATCACTATGGTGGGTTGGTTGGGCAGTCAGCTGCATTAGGGGGTAGTCCGTCGCTCGTACCTAGCATTGGGGGATGGCCTAGTTCAGTTCAAGGTCACACGTTGATGACCACCGCGAATCGGAGTCAATTGCCGAGTTTGCTTCCCCCGGGAACCAGAAGTTGTGTCAGTAAAAACATTCCAGCCGAAGTTAAAGGGGTTAGATTTAACGGAGACGTAGAATGGTGTCCGTTTTATGCCAAGTTCTCCACTATCGCGGAATACCATCAGTGGAGCGATCCCGACTCTCTGTTTGCCCTAAGTCTCACACTCGAGGGGGCAGCCCTGAAGTACTTCGATATTCTCAGACGACGAGGCGCGCTGTTAAGTTTCCGAGAAGTTGTTCTCCGGATGGAGGAGAGGTTTTGTAGAACTTCTCTGCGAGCCGCCTCACAGCTGGAATTTAACTCAATTAGCCAGCGGGCGGACGAGGCTATAGAACAATGGGGGGGGGGGACCGAGTTATGGACACTGCCCAGAAAGCGTTTGGTAGCGGGACTTCGCCGGAAATTTTTCAGGAGCAGGTAATCGTTCGTTTTGCTCTTGGGTGTAATGATGGCGAGGCGGGGCAGCAACTGATTAACAACCCCCCGGGTACTCTAGAAGAGGCGATTTAGCGTGTCAAGACTTGTCAGCTCAGCCGTAGAGCTGTAGCCCGTCGTCCGCGAGCAGTAAGGTCCGTATCTCATGATCGCGGAGATGATCTTAGTTTTTCGCCATCTCGAGATTATTCCCGAAAAAACTCAGACCCCGGGTCTCGAGAACCGTATGTAGAATACAAGGAACGCACTTCGAGGAGGAACCCGACATCCAGTGCCGAAGGAGCAAAGACCCGTACCGAGTCACCGGACCGGGCCTTATGGAGACAGCGTCGTCACTTCAGTGACTCGGGGGACAGTAGTAAGAGCTATAGTCCCAGGCGCCGTTCATCCAAAGAAAGTCAGAGGGTCGAGGTCGTCCTCGTGCTCCAAGGCCAGTGGTCTGCTATGAATGCCAAGAGCCAGGCCATCTGCGACGGGACTGTCCGATCCGCATACGTAGGCGTAGATCGGGAATTCCTCATCCGTGCATTAAGAATACTGATAGAAAGTACACAGAAAAACGTCGTGTGTCAGACTCCGACACTAGAGTCAAGTTTTTCGAACCGAATGTGAAAGCGACTTACGTAATACCGTCTGTCAGATCAGGTAGTCAAGGAATTGGTTCTGGGGCTTGGCGTATTCCCGTTCAGTCGGGAGGCCAACGCGTGAAGGCAACTATTGATACTGCAGCTGACATCACGATAATCTCGATGGAGGTATACAAGTCACTGAGGCCGCAGCCCGAGATTGTTAGAGACACTAATGTTAAGCTCGCAGGCGAGGGGGCTGGGATGACCGCCCAGTACCTCGGACATTTGAATCTTCGTATCGGGGATTATGATTTCGTTCACCCAATTTATGTTGCCCCTTTACAAGATGAAATGCTTTTGGGAATTGACTTCTTGCGTGCACACGGTGCAGAAGTTTCATGTGAAGCCGGTACATTAAGGGTCAAGGGCATAGAAACTATTTTCGCCCTGAGCGCTGATGAGACAGTGCCAGTACTCGATGCGGTTTCAGTCCGCAGGGTGCGGGTCCCTCCGCACACTGCCCAAGTTATCGAGTGCGCCCTTACTTCCGATATGCCAGAGTTTATGCTGGAACCAGCTAGCATATTTCCGCCTGGTATAGTAGCTTCGCGGACATACAACGCCGCAGGAAACAAAGCCAAGTTACGTATCTTAAACCTGACTGACAGAAGTCATATAATCAAGACTGGTACTAAAGTAGGGGAAGCTGTTCCTGCTATGTCTGTTAAGAGTACCGAGCCCACAGTGCGTCGCGTGTCAGCGGAGGGGGAGACTAGTTATAAACACATAGCCCCACTCCTAGATCAGTTAGGTAAGGGTGCGCCTGTGGAAGTGAAATCTCAGGCTGTAGAGCTAGTTAAAGAATTTGCTGATGTCTTCGCTGTAGATGACCTTGACCTCGGAAAATTTTCCGAGATGGAGCATCGGATAGATACTGGCGATGCACTTTCCGTTAAGCAGCGGATGCGCCACACTCCTGCTGTGATCCAGGGGGAGGAAGAGGGTCGTCTAGACAAAATGTTAGAGGCCGGAGTTATCCAACCATCTTCTTCAGACTGGGCGTCTGCCCCGGTTCTAGTCCGGAAGAAGGATGGTAGTGTCCGCTGGTGAGTGGACTACAGAGCCCTGAATAAGGTGACAGTCAAGGACACGTACCCCCTACCACTCATCGAAGAGTGCATGGACACGCTAGCGGGAAACCGCTGGTTTTCTAAACTGGACGCCAATGCGGCCTATTGGCAAATTAAAATAGCTCCGGAAGACCGGAAAAAGACAGCCTTTATTACCAAATACGGACTTTTCGAATTCACAAGAATGGGGTTCGGTCTGTGTAATGCCCCCGCGACCTTCGCTAGGGCCATCAATCTGGTATTGCACAGACTTAACTGGAAAATTGCATTAGCTTTTCTCGATGATGTATTAGTATTAGGGGTTTCAGCACATGCTCACCTTGATAACCTGAGACAAGTGTTTGAGAGATTCCGAGCATATGGTCTTAAGTTTAAGCCTCGGAAATGCGAGTTATTTAAAACTAGAGTCGAGTTCCTAAGTAGAAACGTGAGCAAGCATGGAGTCGAGATGGGGGATCAGTACATTGAGGCAGTACGTGACTGGCCTTTTCCTTGCGACGTGAAGGGCGTTGAGCGTTTCTTAGGCTTCGCTAACTATCACCGTAGTTTCATTCCCCAGGTCTCGAGAATTGCGGCTCCGCTGTACGCGGTTACCGGAAAGAGTGGTTTCCGATGGGGGGCTGAACAACAAAGCGCCTTTGAGGAACTCATCCAATTAATGACCAAACCCCCAGTACTTGCTATTCCGAACAGTACAGGTCACTTCATTCTGGATACTGACGCCTCGGATCATGCCGTAGGCGGGGAACTTAGCCAAGTCTAGAATGGCAGAGAGCGAACAATTGGGTATGGCAGCGCCGTGCTGTCATCCGAGCAGCGCAGGTATTGCACTACTAGAAAGGAGTTATTGGCGGTAATCAAGTTTACCAGACAATTCCGCCATTACCTGCTGGGCAGGGAGTTCACAGTCCGGACAGACCACCATAGCCTGGTCTGGCTAATGAACTTTAAGCATCCGCAGAATCAGATTGCTCGCTGGTTAGAAGAGCTTAGCCAGTACAATATGCGGATAGTCCATCGCCCAGGCAAGAAGCATGTGAATGCCGATGCGCTGTCTAGAGACATACCAGACACATGCCAGAGTTACTCTACTAAAATCAGAGTTGAAGATTTGCCATGTGGCGGACGTAGGTACTGCCGCCGAGCACATGAGCGCTGGCATGACTTTAATACCGAAATTGACGATGTAATTCCACTTTCCCAGCTCTTTGAGGAATCGCCTGTTAGAGCGGAGACGCAGTCCGCTGAGGGGGGTAATTATGAGATGTTAGATCCTACTCTCCGTCAGGCTATTGTGACAAATACTTGGGAAGATGTTTCGTTGGCAGCAGGTGCCCCTGAACTTCCGAGTTTTGAAATCGCTGTCAATGGGGTGTCGAGTTTAAATCCCGAGATTGAGGAAGTGAAGCCTCAAGTTTGTCAGGTATCTCAGGGTGACACTGCGGGAATTTCCCTATGTTCTTACAGTCCCGCAGAGATGGTTCATAAACAGAAATCAGATGAGGCCATAGTTTACCTGAGACAGTACTTAGAGTCTGGGAATTTATCTACCGAAAATGACCTGATTACCTGTAGCCCGGAAGAGAAATGTTACCTTCTGGAGAGAGACTGTTTTACACTGGACGAGACAGGTGTTATTTGGCGAGAACAGGAAGACTCGGACGTGCCTCGTAGACTGTTAGTCCCGAGAAGTCTCAGGTCCGAGGTCATGCACTTATGTCATGACATTCCGTCGTCCGGTCACCAAGGTATACAGAGAACTGAAGAGAGACTTAAACAACAGTTCTATTGGTGGCGGATGGTCAAGGACATTAAATTATATGTCAGGACATGCGACATTTGTGCCCGGAATAAGAGGGGTTCTTTGCCGAATAAATCGGAAATGAAAAGCTACCAGGCCGGAAGTCCGATGGAAAGAGTGCGCTTAGACTTTCTTTGGCCGCTACCCCGAACAGATAGCGGAAATGAGTATATACTCATGATGGTAGATAACTTTACCAAGTGGGTCGAGTGCATTCCGCTCCAGTCTCAGACAAAAGAGGTCACGGCCAGGTCAGCCATAAATGCTTTCTTTTCGCGATTTGGCTATCCTTATGAAATATTTACAGATCAGGGCCGTAATTTTGAAAGTGAGCTTTTCTGTAAAATCTGTACAGTGTTAGGTATTCATAAAGCCCGAACCACGCCATACAGACCTTCCGGGAATGGCCAAGTAGAACGGTACAACCGCACCTTGATGGATGCGGTCCGTTGCTATATCGATGGTCAGCCCAAGGCATGGGATAGGTTTTTGGGTCCACTGGCTGGGGCATTGCGGTCGGAAGTGAATCGCCACACCGAATATACTCCAAATCGTCTAATGCTGGGTAGAGAAGTCATCATACCAGCAACCTTAATGTTTTCCCCACCCCCTTCGCAGTCTTTTCAAAATGGGGAGGAGGGTGAGGTTGACAGATATGTACGTAATCTGGAACAGAACGTGCAGAGCGCGCATGACATTGCCCGTAAGAAACTAAAGGTCGCGCAGAAGGCAATGAAAAGGTCGCACGACATTAAGATCCGTACCCATACGTTCAAGGTCGGAGATTTGGTGTATTGGCGCCGCAATGCGGGAAAAAAGGTAGAATCTATCTGGAAGGGTCCTGGGGGTAATTATTGAAGCCAAATCTGATACAATATTTGTCGTCAAATCTCGGCGCGATGTCAAGGTCATGCACCATGACAAGCTTAAGAGGTGTGAGGCCAGGCAACTTCCCAAGTGGTTAGTTACTTATCAGAGTAAGTTGCCCGGACAGTCAGTAGGCCGAGATGGGGATAGTTCCGCTGGGGACCGCGGACTCAGGGTCAAGTCCTGGGGACCCGGGGGATAGGGTTAAATATAAAGTCAGCCCTAAACCAGCAGAAACAGTAGGTCCATATCTGGGTACCCGGAAACGGGTAAGGGAAAGGTCAGAACAACCGGAAAAACCCAAATCGCCCAAACGACCTAGAGCCACTAAGAGGGCTAAGACCCGACAGTATTGTTTATGCTTACAATCCAATCCTAAGGGGTTAATGCTCCAGTGCGACAGCTGACGGGACTGGTTTCATCCTGGGTGTGTGGGTATAAGTGAGGATTATGCTAAGACAGTGCCTCAATATACTTGCCCCGAGTGCAGTCCCGTCATTGTCAGTAAATAGATTATGGAGTTAGGGTTCCCGCAATGATGCGGGAGCATGTGTAGATATTAGATAGGTTTCCATCAGGTTAAATTGTACTTGCACATGAATTAGTTTGAAGGTGTAGGTTTGATGTTCTTACCTATTTTTAGGTCACCTGAGTCACTCAGGTGACCTATTGCTATCCGTTCTCGTCCGTCGGCGTGCGTCGTGCGGTGTGCGTCGTGTGTTAACATTTGAACATTTTTAGCTTCTTCTCTGAAACCGCTGAACCAATTTCAACCAAATTTGGCATATAGCACCTATGGGTGAAGGGGAACAAAAATTGTGAATTCCATGGTCCCTGCCCCCCTGGGGCCTGAGGGGTGGGGCGAAAACCACCAAAAATAATGCAATCTTTAAAAATCTTCTTCTTTACTCCTGGACATCAAGCAGTCAAACTGTTGGCATCATTGTAATAAGCATTGAGTCCTCTACCAAAATTGTGAAATTCATGGCCCCAGGGTCAGGGGTTCTGGTGCTAGGGTGGGGCTATATAGATCATATAGGGAAAGTGCATTATTTCTTTGAAAATCTTCTTCTCTGCTCCTGGGTATTAAATAAAGTAACTAAGTACATAGTTATGAAGAACAAGAGTGCCTCTTTCAAAATTGTGAAATTCATGGCCCCAGGATCAGGGGTTCTGGTGTTAGGGCGGGGCTCTATTGATTATATAGAGAAAATGCATTAATTCTTTGAAAATCTTCTTCTCTGCTCCTGGGTATTAAATAAATTTACTAAGTATATAGTTATGATGAGCAAGAGTGCCTCTTTCAAAATTGTGAATTTCATGGCCCCTGGGTCAGGGGTTCTGGTGTTAGGGCAGGGCTCTATTGAGTATGTAGTGAAAATGTATTAATTCTTTGAAAATCTTCTTCTCTGCTCCTGGGTATTAAATAAAGTAACTTAGTACATATTTATGATGAGCAAGAGTGCCTCTTCCAAAATTGTGAATTTCATGGCCCCAGGGTCAGGGGTTCTGGTGTTAGGGCAGGGCTTTATTGATTATATACATTAGTTAAAATGCATTAATTCTTTGAAAATCTTCTTCTCTGCTCCTGGGTATTAAATGAACTAATTTAGTACATAGTTATGATGAGCAAGAGTGCCTCTTCCAAAATTGTGAATTTCATGGCCCCAGGGTCAGGGGTTCTGGTGTTAGGGCGGGTCTCTATTGATTATATTGTTAAAATGCATTAATTCTTTGAAAATCTTCTTATCTGCTCCTGGTTATTAAATGAACTAATTTAGTACTTAGTTATGATGAGCAAGAGTGCCTCTTCCAAAATTGTGAATTTCATGGCCCCAGGGTCAGGGGTTCTGGTGTTAGGGCGGGGCTCTATTGATTATATAGTGAAGATGCATTAATTCTTTGAAAATCTTCTTATCTGCTCCTGGATATTAAATGAACTAAGTTAGTACATATTTATGATGAGCAAGAGTGCCTCTTCTGAAATTATGAATTTCATGGCCCCAGGGTCAGGGATTCTGGTGTTAGGGTGGGGCTCTATTGATTATATAGTGAAAAGGCATTAATTCTTTGAAAATCTTCTTCTCTGCTCCTGGGTATTAGATAAACTAACTTAGTATATAGTTATGATGAGCTAGAGTGCCTCTTTCAAAATTTTGAATTTCATGGCCCCAGGATCAGGGGTTCTGGTGTTAGGGCAGGGCTCTATTGATTATATAGTAGAATTGCAATAATTTTCTCTGCTCCTGGGTATTAAGTACATAGTTATGAAGAACAAGAGTGCCTCTTTCAAAATTGTGAATTTCATGGCC